CTTAACCACTGTGCCACCCTCACATGTGCGGTGTGCCCCTGTGCCCCCCAGGGCGTCACACACACCATTTCTTCCAGTGCATTCTTCTCTGTCCCCCTCACCCTCTCTTTGTCTGGGTGACTTTTGCTCAACCATAGAGTCAGCTTAAATGTCAGTTCTTCTGGGAAGCCTTTCCTACTCTACTGCCTGCATGTGGAGAAGTGCCCTACTTTGTGCTTCCAGAACATTCTCTGCTACCCCATCAGAGTACTTATCAAATAGGATAATTGTTTGTTTGTCCACCCCCCCACCAGGAGACAAATGTCTACAAATGTTTTTGATTGTCACAACTGGAAGGCTACTATTGACATCTAGTTGGTAGAGGCCAGGGATGCTGCTAAACATCCTACGATGCACAGGACAGCCCCCACAACAGAGAATTATCAACCCAAAATGTCAATAGTCCCAAGATAGAGAAACCTCGATCTAGACTAAATTCTGTGATGTTCTTTGTGCCCAGTACAATGCCTGGCACACAGTGTATCTCAATAAATACCATGAATGAATAAATGCTACTTGCTTGTGTTGTGACCTCAACCTCTCTGAGCCTCAGTTTTCTCAGCTATCAAAGAAAGATAGAAATACCTTCCTTGCCCACCTCATATGATGAGTATGAGGCTCAGGTAAGATAATGAATGAGAAAATGCTTTTAAGCTAAAGCACACATCATGGGTTATTAAGAACATCGTCATTATTATAAAATCTCCCAGGTTTTGAATTAAGCTATTTTAACATTATAACGTGAAATCTAACATTATAATGTCAAATTTATCCACTAGGATGTTAATCTGTCCCTGAGATACTCATAAAAGTGATTAAAACAGCTTCCCAAAGAGCCCAATCCCTGTTCAAGTCAGTTCAAATGAATCAATTTTACAATTAAGGAGCTTTGCTGTGGGAGAACCATTGAGCTAGGTGTTGGGACTACAGAGACTACATATCCCTGCCCTCAAGGAACTCATGTATTCCAATAAATCACAATCCAGGCTGGTGAAATCAACAGTAGAGGTCTGTGCAAGGTACCACTGGGAGGAAGAAGTTAACCAGTATGGGAGGAGGTGGGAAGGAGGGGAGAGGTTGTAAGAACCTCAGGACCAGCTCACCTTCCCAGGCAAGGTCTGCTTTGCGTTGTCCAATGTTGGTCTGGAAATTTTGCATGCCAGTTTGGACTTCTGAATTCTCATTTAAAAGCTTAAGAAAGTCTCCATGACCAGCTTTCTGCCTCAAATTGACCCATTCCATTGCAGTCATCAACTGTACAGATCCTGGGCACCAAGAGAACAGCGCTCGTCAGGTCCACGCCACTGGCCCACACAGGTTCAGCTATGGCACCACAGTGTCATACCAATGCAACCACGGCTTCTACCTCCTGGGCACCCCAGTGCTCAGCTGCCAGGGAGATGGCACATGGGATCGTCCCCGCCCCCAGTGTCTCTGTAAGTAGTTTTTATTTGTGGTGGGTCAGTGGTAATGTCCCCATTTTCATTCCTGATTTTAGTAATTTGAATCTTCTGTTTTCTCTTGGTCAGTTTTGTTGATCTTTTCAAAGAACGAACTTTGATGTCATTGATTTTCTATATTGTTTTTCTGTTCTCTATTTTATTTATCTCTGATCTAACATTTATTATTTCCTCTCTTCTGCTTCCATGGGTTTATTTTGCTCTTCTTTTTCTAGTTCCTTAAGGTTATTAATTTGAGATCTTCTTTTTTAATGTTTACATTTACAGCTATAAATTTCCTCTAAATACTGCTTCCATTGCACCCCATAAGTTTTGGTATGTTGTGTTTTCATTTTCATTCATCTCAGAGAATTTTCTTATTTCCCTTGTGATTTCTTCATTTTACTCACTGCTTATTTAGGGATGTGTTGTTTAATTTCCACGTATTTGTGAATTTTCCAAATTTCCTTCTGTTATTGAGTTGTAACTTCATTACATTGTTGTCAGAGCACATACTTTGTATGACTTCAGTCTTTTTAAATGTATTGGGACTTGTGGCCTAACATGATCTATCCTGGAGAATGTTCATGTGCACTGCTTATTGGGTAAAGTGTTCTACAGATGTCTGTTATGTCTAGTTGGTTTATAGTGTTTTCATGTCTTCTGTTTCATTGTTGAGCTTCTATTTGTTCTATCCATTACTGAAAGTAGGATGTTGAAATTCCTTACTATTATTACTGATTTGTCTATTTCTGCCTTTAATTTTGTCAGTTTTTGCTTCATGTAATTGGCATCTCTGTCGTTAGGTGCATATACGTTTATAATTGTTATATCTTCTTGATGAATTGACCCTATCATATTATAAAACGT